TTCTCAGCTAAGCTTCACAAAGAGCAATCTCTGGGCAGCTAGTTAAACAATGTTAACCATTCTGAACCAGATGAGAGCAATGAATGACTTAGCATGGTCATCGAATAAAAAGGCATCAATTTATGTAACTTCTAGAGCAGTCAACGAAATGAAAGTAAGAGCATCAGCTGGTAAAACACAGTTCAGTTATCGTGAGGAAAAGGTTGTGATAGAAGTTTAAGTTAAGATTAATTTCAGAAAAAGTCAAGTAGGTGTTACGGGTTCCATGTTTTCATCCCTTTGCTTAACTCTGCTTGGTAGCATATTTTACAAGTGGATTTTGCTCCTTCCCTTGTTTTGCTATAGGTAAGCAGAGGGTAAGGCCTTACTCTCCACGTTACTCCATAGTACTTGGAGTTATATGCAAAGAAACCATGCTGCCTTCTCAAAAGAGCATGGATTCACATGGCAGTGCTCCCCATTCCAGGTGTTTCTCCCTCCTTTCTTCAGGCTAAACTACCCCAGGATCTTGAGAATGCTCCACACGCCCTTGTCAGTGTTTCATCAACCGAGTGGTCCCGGGATGAGGTTGCCAGCCCAAAGGGTTTCAATAAATCAATAAATTAAACCAAAGAGCAACTCAAAATTCATTTATAAAATATGTGTTCCTTAAAAAGTTATCCTAAGACAAAAGGGATTACTTCTATGGAACCCTCACCTACTTAGAGGAAGTTAGCTCCTAGTGAGCATTTTTACAAAAAGAAAACAAAAAGAAGACGAGTCCTAGGATGGGCACCCCTGATTATGAGGATTGCTTGTTCCTTTTATAGGGTTCTTCATTTGATCTTCATTGTTCCTTTCATCAAGGGTCGTGCTTTGTTGAAATCCTCTCCAATGGTAGCTTTGCTTCTTGCCAGATTGGCCTTAAATGGAAGTGGTCCCCCTTGCTTTTGGCTCCCTTTGTGAGTGGGAGTATCGGATTCAGGGAGGCACCTCCACTCCTTCTGCTGCAGCTGACGTGGCGGCTTTTGATTGCTCAGCTTCTTTGCTTTCGTACTGTAGCAGAGGTAGCACCTCCACCTTCTCTGCTGTGGCTGACGTGGCGGCTTCCCATTGCTTCCTTTGACTGTTGTTGTACTACAGCAGGCTTTCTGCGTAACACTCCTTCTTCTCTCTTCATTTTGTGGTTCCTTCTGATGGGCCTTAGGTGTCCTGAACAAAGCAAACTAACCCAATAGTCATATGTGAAAAAGATAATGTTAAATTTGCTCCAGGTCTACCTTAACTCCCACTTTCGGTATTGCTCTGGTCCACTATTCAAAACAGTTGCTCTATATGGAAAGAAGAAGGTTGAAGGGAGTGATTTATAATCAAAACATGGGTTTTGTGGAACAATTTACACTTAATGGGCCTCAACTCTTGAGGACCATCATGCACCAAGGTATCAACCATTGATTACACAACATTCATCACATCATTTTTCATTAAACTTCCCTATAGGTCGAATTCCTCATGCCACTATACCAAAGGACATTCAATCCAATTCCACACTTTAACACATCATACAACCTATAATTAACTCACACAATCACTCCATAGCTCAATTATTCAATCCTACCATCATACCAATTCACAAAGTATTGAAGGATTTGAAGGAGATTTGGGAGGAGATTTGAATTATTCAATGCCTCTTCAGCCTCTGACTGAACATTCCCCCTTTTGTGTGTTTTTGGGGAAGGTTTTAAAGGAGATTTGGGAGGAAGTTTCTTGCCTCAGTAGCAGCAGAGGCTTCCTTCTTTACTTTGGAGGGATGGGGAACAGATTTTGTAGCTTTTGTGGCTGAGTAGTGAGTGTAGGTTTCTTGATTTTCTTTTTCTCCTGTCTTGGAGCAGGAGCTTCTTTTTCTTCTTCATCATCTTCATCATTGATCACAGCAACATCATGCTTGATGTTGTGATCTTTGAGAAAGGCAGGGGCTCCATCAATGTATGCGTTTATCAGATTATTCCAGGTTCTAAAATCAAGGACAAACCCAGCAACTGGGTTTTCATCCTTGGGAAAGGGTACACCATCTCTTAAACAGAGCTTTGAGATTAAACTAGGAAGACAATTAGTAGTCTTCCTGATTTCCTTTTTCAGACTCTCATAGATGATAGGTACTGCATCAATGGGGATGTTCATCATGATGCAGTAAAATTGAACCTGCAATGCCCACTTCACAGTGGCATCATGGGTTGAGGGAGTCAGGTTGGTGTTTACGAACAAAGCCCAGAATCTGGCTTCGTCCACAAAACTGCCCTTGCTGAGGGCTCCTTTGGCATACACAGGTTTGCCAATGGTTATCAACTTCTTCAATTCCAGCAAAAGCTCAAGGTCTTCTCTCTTCTCTATGTATTCAACGTAAGGACAGTTGCTCACGACTGGTAAAAAGAGCACCTCCTTAATGGCTTCAGGAGAGAATGAAACTTTCTTCCCTTGCACCATCACCTCATCAGGCTGGTTGTCTTTGGGTAGCCTCTTCGCATGGTACAGAAACTCAGCCACCAAAGAAGGGTAAAGCTCTCGCTCTGCTGTTGTAAACCTGGTCCATTTGAGTTTGGATAGGGCATTCAATACGAAGGTGGGCATGGGGGCTTTATTCTTCAAGAAAATGTTCCTCTCTGGGTAGAGAATCACATTATTTTTTATGATTTCTGGTTCCTGTGTGTAGTCAGACACAGGGATGATGGTTACTATGAGTCTGGTCATGGTTGTGGGTTGAGAAGAGATTAGGGCAAAAGACTGAGAAGAGTAATGGAGAATAAGAGGTTCTAAGTTAGCAAGAGAGTGGTAAAGTACGAAAGAGAGAAGATAGGGGTTTAAATAAGCATGCAGAGGAGGGAAAGTGAGAGGTTTATTAAGGATGTGGGGGGTTAAGGATGGAGGTTGAATAAGTAGTGGAGGGGGAACGTTACGAAATGAGTGTTCAGGGAGTAATGGCTAATAACTACTGATGATGGGTGGAGGAGATGGAACAAATTTAGGGCAGAATCATTGGAGAGAGGGAAGAGAGAGGAAGAGCAGTTGCATTAATGGCTGAGTGGACAGTTCCTTTTTCTGAGCACGTTTCAAAATTTGCAATGAGTGCAGGTTTGGTAACAGTTGTGTGGCCTTGAGTGACTCAGCAGGGACAGGCTATGTAGCACCGATACGACACGCGACACATGACACGATACGACACGACACTCTGACACGTCAATCCTAAAAAATTATGGATTTCGACTCGTTGGGACACGTTTTAATATTAAATAATATTTTTAATTTATATAGCGTATATTTCATTTAATATTCAACAATTTAACAAAAAAATGAAACTAAATTAATAATACCTATCAACACGTAATAAAGGTGGAAGCTTTAATAAAAAAAATAGGAACTGAGAAGAGAAAGAGATAATATCAGATAGAGAGATCAAATCATATTAGAGAGAGATCAGAGAGGAGATACAACAAGAGCGTAATAGGAATTGTCAACAATGATGCTGAGATGATCTCTTATTTACTTAAGAGAAAAAAAGACAAATTTTTTTTTTGATATGATCAGGTGGAAGCTTTGTTAATATATTCTAATTTAAAAATAATAATAATTTTTTTAAAAAAAAAATTACGAAAATGACATTTGACCGTGTCGGAACGTGTCGGACACAGTCAAATTCGCGTGTCGAAATGGTCAACGTGTCGGGAATGTTGACCGCGTGTCGCACACCGTGTCAGAACGTGTCGGAGCGTGTCGGACACGACACTCCCTGTTTTTTGAAGTGTCTGTGCTTCCTTGGGGGCAGGTGTTCCTAGCATCCTTATCTTACAAGCTAAGAGAACGTTCCCTTTTTAACCTATCCTACTTAACCATTTTTGCAATCAATTATGAACAATAATACATGTATAAGCATAATATTTACGTCTTTAAATATATATATATATATATTATTAGAAAAGAAATAGATGTATGGGTATATGTGGTTATTGAACCACCCCAAAACTATGTTCCTGTCACGTAACGTATTTTATTTGTTTGGATCAGAGGTGAACATCAGACGTTCCCTCTCTTTTGGGAAGAATGTGGTTAAGTTTAACTACCCCAAAACTTTGTTCTTGTAAGAGAACAAAGGTAACCACTGGGTGTCCTCCTAGTCAGCGCTTAATTTAATGTCTTTAGCTAGACATGTTACTGACCTCTTACTGCTCTGGTGAAGATGTTGATGGAACTTCAGTGTCTCTTGGTAATTTTCCATTCTTTCTGGTGTTCCGACTGGCAGCTATTTGTCCCAGGTGGGATTCAATGTTTCAAACTACTGCATCATTTCTGGTGCATACTCTTTCACATAATTTTCCAATGTACTGATGTGTTGTTCTTCTCTGGGGAACGAAGCATTGTTGGGTCTTCTTTGTGGATCATATGCTCCATTTCCCCCATTATTTCCTTGTTGGTATTGTTGTTGTTGATTGTTGTATGGTCTCTGGTTCATGGGTGGTCTCCATTGAGGATTATGGTTTTGATCCTTCTGCATGGTGTCTCCAGAATTTTGATTATTGTTGCGTCCTGCATACTGATTGTCTCTGGGCTGATTGAAGTTTATATTCCTAAAATTTTCAGCATAACACACCAAGGCTGTGGAAGGACAGTCTATTGAGTCATGCTGATCACCACATGCTGAGCATGGTTCAATTTCAGGGGTTGTAAGTTGTAAGACATCAGCTCTTGGCTGTTCTTTGTCAGCTTTAAGGCTCTTCACTTAATTCATCAGTGCAGCTAGTTGGGCATCCATGGCAGTTTGTTTATCCAACTCTAGTATGCATGGCCTCCTCACTGGATTCATCATTTCTAGTGGCCATTGAAGACAACGTTCTGCAGTACCTTCTATGATCTCATATCTGGATTCAAGAGTTCTTGTGAAAAAATATCCTTCTGCAGCAAAATCTAAATGTGATTGAGAAGTATGGTCAATTTCCTTATAAAAAGATTGTAAAACTCCTCATTTCTCTACCTCATGATTAGGACATTTTCTAATAATGTCCTTATATCTCTCCTATGCTTCATAGAGACTCTCTTCATAAAACATTCTGAAGTTAGAGAGCTCTGCTCTGACATCAGCTTGAAGAGACATAGGGAGAAATCTCTCTATGAACTTGTTAGAGAGTTCTTCCCATGAGTGTATGGATCCAGGGGTAAGGGATTTCATCCAAATTTTAGCTTTTGAGCCCAAAGAGTGAGGGAACAGCCTCATTCTCATACTCTCTTCTGTCACACCTTCTGTTCTAAAATTATCACAAATATCTTGAAAGTTGTTAAGGTGTGTGTAAGGATCTTCTGCAGGGAGTCCATTGAAAATTCCAGCCTCCCTAATCATATTAAACATGATAGGCTTTAACTCAAAGTTAAAAGCTACAACAGGAGGGAGGATTACTCCCCTTGATGGTCTGTTCCTTGAAGGAGCAGCCAAAGTTTGAAGTTTTGTTCCAGAGCTTAGATGGGAACGAATTTTCGTCCCATCAGGGGCCTACATCCAATCCTTGGTGTTTTTGTTGCCTACATCGGTTCTGTGAAGGATGAGATCTCCAACATCGAATGACCTGGGCTTCACCATTTTGTTGTACTAAGCTGCTGTGATTCGCTTAATGGCCAAATCTCGGAGTCTGGCTACTTCTTGTTGCTTGTCCATGAGGTCCAACTCGGGATTGATTGCTTCGTCATTTGTCTCTTAGAGAGTTTGCCTCCTTCTCTTGAAGGGGGTTTCCCATGTTGTGTAATGAGGGGTCGTCCTGTATCCCCCAAAGCTCATACTGCAAATAACGGGTCCAATTCCTTTTTTGGCATCTACACCTACTTATGTTTTTTCGTCACCGCCTTCCCGTGTTTCCTCACGTCTGGGAGCAGATCATGTGTTGTCTTAATTGTTCATCCCATATGACCTCGTCAATTGCGTCTCCTAAATCTTGACATTCATTCATAGTATGGCCATATCTGTTGTGCAAATTTGATGCGAGTGATAAGGAAAAGGAAATGAAAAAAAGAAAGTTCTGTATATTCTTCTATAAAAAATTACACTCGGCATAGTCACCTATTTGTACTACACACTCCTTTATTACATGCACTCAACCTCTCAACTCATTCTCTCTTAACTAATGTAACAACCCTTCCTATTATTGTGGAACTAACTCGCATTAACTCTCCTTCATGCAAAGTCCTTCATCCATGATGGAGGCCTCAGCTGATAGACTAAATTGGTCCTTGTTTGCACCCTCATCTCGTGCCACAGCTGCATCATTACCATCCCCACTAAAAAGGACCTTGTCCGCAAGGTCAAGCGAAGGGTATGCCCTCTTGAGATCACATTCAAATTCCCAAGAAGCATCCTCAGGAACTGTATGGGACCATTGGACGAGAAATTGCTTCTGTCTACGTCGCTGACCTACCCAACGAGAAGACAACATTGCTAAGGGCTCCTAAACCAGTCTGTTATCAACACTATCCGTTGGTAACTCAGTAGACACAGGTGCATCAGCCCCATAAAACCTCTTCAAAACAGAAACATGGAAAGTCGGGTGAATTTTGCAACCCACAGGTAACGCCAGGCGATAAGCCACTAGACTAAGGATTTCAGCAACGGGAAAAGGCCCAAAGAAACGTTTGGCAAGTTTGTGATTGGAACGACGAACCACAGAAACTTGACGATGAGGTTGGAGCTTCAACAAAACCATATCACCAACGTGGAAGGAACGATCCACTCGGTGCTTATCAGCAAGAAGCTTCATGCGCTGTTGGGCACGAAGCAAACTCCTTTTAAGGGAACACAGCAAGTCGTTCCTCTCCGTCAAAGCAGCATCCAAAGCATCCACTGGTGCCAACCCGCGAGGATAAAAAGGAAACGAAGGTGGAGGCTTACCATACAAAGACTGAAATAGAGACATGCGAATAGAAGAATGCACCGCTGTATTATAATGTAGCTCAGCCCATGACAAAAGCTGGAACTAGATAACATTCTTTTGGTGACAGTAGGCCCTCAAATATTGCTCAAGGTAACGATTGGTAACCTCCGTCTGCCCATCGATCTGGGGATGATACGCGAAACTCATCTTCAACTTAGTGCCACTCAACGCAAACATCTGTTTCCAGAAACGGCTCAAGAAAATGCTATCACGATCAGATACCAATGATCTGGGAAAGCCATGGAGCTTTACCACTAAGTCGACAAACAATTGAGCAGCCATAACAACAATGAACTTTGTAGGTAGAGCACCAAAGTGTGCATATTCGGTAAGTCGATCAACAACAACAAAAATAACAAAGAAACCACGAGATATGGGGAGACCAACAATGAAATCAATGGTTAAATCTTCAAAGGCTCCTTCAGGAACAGGTAAAGGCTGTAACAAGCCCGCTGGAGCAGTGTTCATAGGCTTAATAGCTTGGCAAATGGCACATTCACGCACAAAGCTACGTACATCAGTCCTCATATTATTCCAAAAAAATTAGCAGACGAAACGCAATAGAGTGCGTAAATAACCAGCATGGCCCCCCAAAGGCGAACAATGTGCCTCATATAACAATTGTGGCTTAAGAGGTGAATTGGAGCATAAAAAAACGTTTACCATGGAACAAAATTCCATCCTTACAAGACAGTGAGGAAGGAACCTGGAGTCCTTGAAGCATACAGTGATGAACTTCAAGCAGCTCTGTGGAGTGTTTATTCTCCTCTTTAATCTGCTCCAACAATGCGAACGAAGGTTCAGAAAGTGCCACACAACAAGAAGCCACAATCTCTGGTTCGTGTTGTCTTGATAGCCCATCTGCTATAACATTCGACAGACCAGGTTTATACTCTACCGTAAATGAGTACCCCATAAGTTTAGAAACGTATTTATGTTGCTCAAGTGTCTGAATAGTCTGAGAGAGTATTTCTCTAAGGCTTTGGTGATCGGTGCAGATTACAAACGGAGAGCCCAACAAATACGGTCTCCATTTCTTGACCGCTTCGACCACAACATACAGCTCCCTGACATACGTGTTTGCAGCTGCCAACCGAGGACCCAATTTCCTGCTGAAATACAAAATGGGTTTGCCAAGCTGAAGCAAAACTGCACCAATACCTGAAGAAGATGTGTCTGACTCTACCACAAACGGCAATGAAAAGTCTGGCAAAGCCAGGATGGGTGTGGAGGACATGGCTTCTTTGAGAGACGAGAAGGCCATTTGAGCTTCTTCAGACCAAGTAAACTTATCCGCAGCTAATAAGTCCGTTAATGGTGCTGCAATCGTCGCGTACCCATGCACAAAACGACGATAATAGCATGTTAGGCCCAGGAAAGCACGCAGTCCTTTGACTGAAGTAGGTGGAGGCCATTGCAACATCACTGCCACTTTCTTCGGGTCATCCTTAACACCAGATTCATTAACGACATGACCCAGATAGTCAATTTCGGATGCAGCAAAGGAGCACTTACTCAGTCTAACGTAAAACTGATGTTGCTGAAGGCAAGATAAGGTCAACTCCAAGTGCTTGACATGCTTATCAATGGATCTGCTAAAAACCAAAATATCATCAAAAAAACAATTATAAATTTTCGAAGAAAAGGGCGGAAGATACTGTTCATGGCAGACTGGAACGTTGATGGAGCGTTCGTCAAACCGAACGGCGTCACTATAAACTCATAGTGATCATCGTGAGTTCGGAATGCAGTCTTGAAGATATCTGCCTCATGAACACGTATTTGGTGATAGCCGGCCCAAAGATCCAGCTTGGAGAAGACAGCAGCATGACAAAGCTCATCAAGCAATTCATCATTGGTGGGAATTGGTAAGCAATCGCGAATTGTGATGGCATTTAATGCCCTGTAATATACACATACGCCAAGAGCCATCACTCTTCTTTACCAAGAGCACTGGTGAAGAATATGGGCTCTTACTCGGTTGAATATAGCCATAAGCCAATAATTCCTTAACCTGACGTTCGATCTCAGCTTTTTGGAAGTGAGGATATCGGTAAGGCTTCACAGTAACAGGTTTTGAACCTTCAAATAAGTGGATTGAATGATCAATGCCATGAAAGGGAGGCAACATATGAGGAACTGCAAAAACCGTATAAAACCTGCACAAGACTTGCCAAATTGCATTAGGTATCAGACGTTCCAATGCTAAAATATCATCTAGAACTTGATTCTGTGCCACAGCAGATGGAAACAAAGCAAAACAACTCAGAGAAGACGAGTGTTGCAGCACTGGGCCAGCTGATAAATGCACCTTCTCATTGTTGGCCATGAACTCCATGGAAAGGTTAGCATAATCATGTGTCACCTTACCTAATGATTCTAGCCAAGGCATGCCTAGAATAATTTGGAGTTCTTTCAGTTCAAGGACCCAGAGATCCACACAAAATGCAAAGCCTTGAATAGACAAGGAAACAGCGAGGCATTTAGTATCACACAACATGAAATCACCATTACCCAAGATTACCTTCATACTGCGAGAATGTGAAAGAGAAAGGCCCACCTGTATGGCTAATTCCTTTTGGACAAAATTATGAGAACTGCCAGAGTCCACCATCACTTGTATCTCATTATCCCCCACTTTTGCAGGAAATTGCAACAACTTAGACATTGAGTTCATGGTTAAGGCATTCAACACAGCGTCATGGCAGGATTGGGAAGGATCATGTGGCTGCCATACAATATCTTCCTCATGTTCAACAGTTGTATCCTCTGCCTCTCCCATTAACAGTAACATTTTGGACTTGCATCTATGGCCCAAAGACCACTTCTCATCGCAAGTGAAACAAATCCCAAGTTCACGTTTCTTTTTTAACTCCTCTGGTGGTAATCTTTTTATAGGTAAGGATTGTGGTGCTGGCAATGCCAAAACAGGGTTCTCTGAAGAAGTAGGATTATTATGTGAAGAAGTCAATGCATAACGCGGAGTTATTTTGCGATTTGAATTCGTATAAAATGAAGATTTCATATCACGGTGATGTGCATCGTATGTGAAATCATTGAATAGCTTGATACAAGGTTGTAGGTTCATGTAATTGGATTACTCGACGGAGTTCCGTATTCAAACCAGAAACAAAAAAAAACTCAGGAGTAAATCATCAGTCAAACCAGGCACTTGGTTCATCAGAATCTCAAATTCATGTACAAAATCTTCCAACGTACCAATTTGAGATAGTTTCGATAATGTACCTCTTGGATCTGTGTAAGTGGAGCCACCAAATCGTTGGTATACTGCTTTAGTAAAATTCTCCCACTGTAAAATCGTGCCACTGTTATGAATCCATTGAAACCAAGAAGCTGCTACGGCTTCCATTCGCAAACCAGCAAGTTCAATTTTCAGATCTTCAGGAATTTGTTGAACTCTGAAGAACATTTCGCATTTAAAGATCCATAGGTGAGGATTCTTGCCATCAAAGGATGGAATCTCCATTTTAATCGATCGCAAAGCAATACATTGCTCATTGAGCTGTGGAACGGTATGATGAGGTTGGGAGTTGACATTCACCGCCGGTGAATGTGTACTAGCACGCGATGGTTGCAGGTCTCGCATTCTCTCATCAATGGCATTGAATCGCATCTCAAAAAGATTGGTGAGACGCAGTTCCATAGCTTCGGTGGTTTGATTGATGTGCTGAAGAAGTTCAACACGTGTATTCTGTAGTTCCTCCGCGACTTCTTGAACCCTCATGATTTTTGAGTGCAAGATCGATGAAAGCACCAATGATGCGGGTGATAAGGAAAAGGAAATGAAAAAAAGAAAGTTCTGTATATTCTTCTATGAAAAATTACACTCAGCATAGTCACCTACTTATACTACACACTCCTTTATTACATGCACTCAACCTCTCAACTCATTCTCTCTTAACTAACATAACAACCCTTCCTATTATTGCGGAACTGACTCGCATTAACTCTCCTTCATGCAAAGTCCTTCATCCATGATGGAGGCCTCAGCTGATAGCCTAAACTAGTCCTTGTTTGCACCCTTGCACCCTCATCTCGTGCCACAGCTGCATCAAACTCACAGTGCTTGCTCTTATACACTTTTCCATGACGCTTGATAGGCTTTGGTGATTCCATTTGTCGGAACTCTATTTGGGCGACTACCCTAAAAATCTAGGACCTCGAGACGTTGAGGGGAGAATAGTTCTCGCATCTACATTTAGCACGGCGGGCATTCGAGTTTTTCTTGCTCCTCTAACCATCCACAACTCGATGTGAGCAAGGGGGATCTCTCTTCATACTCAATGTTTGCTCTTTCTATCTCCTCCTAGACTTGATCTAGCAGTTGGTCGTGGCATGGGGGGTTGGCTGGGCTGGTGAGACGAACGACATGATAGAACCTTCTTCTCCGTCAGTAACTGGGTTGTCCATCTCCCACTATAACTAAAAGTTGGGCCTTTACTAGTGACTCTACATTGCGTTGCACATGGTCACCATGGTTAAGGTAGGAGTCGAAGTTTATTGATATCCATAGACAACACCAATATTTAATCTAAGAGGGTCATAATCAATATGGAATTTGTTGATCAATGGTATTTTATAGAAAAGAAGGGTGAAAAATAAATGTGCACAAAAAAAGGCTAGAAACAAAGGTGGTGGTTGTATGCATAGGGGCAATGAAAACTAGCTTTTCCAAAAGGGTGTGCCTATAGATTTTAATCCTTATTTAAAAGAAAAGATTTACGGGGAGGTGATAAAGTTTTGAGTAAGATTCAAACTGTAATGAATAAGGCTCATAATTAGAGTTTAGTATTTCAAGTCGGGGTTGCCTTAGGCCTTTATCTTCTGGAGCTTATGGGATCCATTAAGGTGGTGTTTGGTTGACGGTTTCTTCAAGCTTTCCTATGCAAATGAAGCAAGCAATCCAGAAAGCATGCGTTTGGTTCAACAGATTCACTCAAAATCCCAAGCCATCCTATTTGCATTGCATTTCCAATTTGGTCTTTGAATGATAGCTTTCTTCACTGTTTAGAAAGAGTTGTGGGAGGTGGTTTTATGTGAAAAGCCGGGTAAACCACTTTTTGACAATTTCTTCAGACCATTATACCCTCTGCTTTCTTCTTGTCCAACTCCAGCACTAATGAAGATATTGGTGATTTTGTGTCCACAAAATTTAGCAACCACTCTAGTGATGACTCTTCGTACATGTCAAGGTCGAGTTGCTCTTTAGCCTCTAGAGCTTCCTCCCGCTCTTCATTGAACAAGGTAGCATAAGGATCTAATTTCCTGTCCTTGTCTTTTCCAAGAATATGACGCATCGCTGGGGAGGAAACACCATGGCCTTGGTGTTGATGTCGCTCAGGTTTAGGTTAGGACGGCTTTGCTTCTTCCTTTGTTGGCTATTAGGATTGAGACGACAATGACTTTTGTGATTTGAAGATGGCTGGTTCGGTGGTCTGATGGTGGTTGTGGGTAAGGGTTGGACCGATTTGGTGAGGGAGGTTGTGGACGGTGGCTTTGGGGGATGGGGCGGTGGCTGAAATAAAAAAATAAAAATTAAAACGGGGTTATTTTTGTAAAAACAACTTTTTTCCCGATCTATATTTTACCTACATCCAAACATAGACTTTATAAGAGTTACCTAATTTTTCCATCAAAATTTTATCCAACCAAACAACTTTTTTTACATTTTCCTACCAAACTCACATTCCAACCATTTTCCTAGTAATCACATTTCTCTATTATTCATAAAAATTTCTTCTCAACCAAACGCCCCCCTAAGTGGATCTAGAACACTGCTTTTTATAATATTATAGTTTCAATAATTTATAACCAGTTCAGAAGAGTTTACATTTGGTATAAGAGTGAAAATTTTATGAAATTTATACGTAAAATTGTATTGAAAACTCATCTTTCTAATATTTCTACTCCCATTTTGAGGGTATACGAAACTAAGTTTTGGGGAGAACTTCACAAATAGAAGGCAGGTGGAAGTAATAAATTTCCCGTTTGGTAAAATGAAATTTAAAAAATTTAATAAAATATTAACATGTATGCATAAAAAAAACAAGGGCAATATTTTAGGAGATTAGTCTATCTAGGACGTGGCTCTTTGACACACGGCATGGGATCTGGCAATGACTTGTGATCAAGTGGCTTCAACCCTCTTCTAGACCAATAAGTTACAAATGAATTCTCTAGCTTCCTCACCTATCATCACAATAATTAAAACACAGGTAATCAGAAAGAAATGTTATTACACTCCTATTTCTTCTTTCAAATGGAAATAACTGATAAAGTATAACAAATTCATCAATCTTCATATATTAAATTATATAAGGTTTGAGCTAAGTATTGTCAATCAGATTTCACACACCAAGCCTTTCCAAAAACATGTACATAGGGGGTTACAACCTGTCGTTCCAATGGCATCAATACTAAACTTCATTCTCACTCTTGACGTATCTTTTATCACTAAACAACGAAGTCATATACATGCTTCTAAATTGCAGCTATGTCTGTCGTTGTGTTGCAGGCCAATTGCGGTCAATGCAGTTCACAATTATGGCCTGAGGTGATTGCAGCAGCCACCACAACAAAGATATCGTGGCAGCATGTGACACCAATTTAAAACCCTGGTCATATGAGATAGACTAGAATGCACTCTTAAAGACACTTTTGGACAGATGAAATAGAGATACGAAGCTGGAGTTACAGCTCCTTTTCGGATAGGTAATAAGCAATAATGATCAATGATTCCTAAGTCAGAACATAGGAACAAGAAAAGATGGGGAAATCGATAAATAGAAAATACATATATCATAGCTTTTTAACTGATAATAATATGATCATAAATTCCAGGTAACTCTACAAAACAATTATAAGGGATCAAGCAGGGCAAATGATGACATTTGCAAATACGACAATGATGAAATTGAACACACTGGATCTATTACCACTTACAAAATCAATATAAAATAGGGGATACTACATGACAAGCTTTAACAAGGCATTGTTGAAAAAATCAGAAATTCATGAAGTTAACAAATAGAAGAAAGAAATTGTTCAGATATGTTACAATGAATTTCCCATTGGCACATAGGATCATTGCAGATATATAACATTTGTAGTAACTCAGTTGAGTCAGATCACACTAGAAACTTTCAGGACAATTTCCTACTCAAATGCTTGATGATTGTATCTGCTCAATTATGTTCTGTTTTGTTATAAGATCTGCCAAATTGAACTCCTCATTCTCTTCTACTAACAAAATTTCTTTTTATTATTGAAAGAAAGAAATCACATCAAATACTTCTTGCACCCAAAAGAGAAAATGAAAATGAAAAACAAACCTGCTGAACAATAAATGGCTCCTCAGCAAGACTCAATGGCTCTGTCAAAATAGTTAGAAACCCATTGCGATTGCCATAAACAACGTCAGTGAAGGGCCGATCACCTACCTGCCATAAAATGCATATGGTTTAACATAAACCAGAATCAAACTTACAATACAAGTAGCTAATAGAAAATGAACACTACAAAATTTTCATGTACCATGATTAATTGTGAAGATTCACAACCAAAATGCTTTTCAATTTCTTCAGCTGTACCAGCTGGCTTCTTCACCCCTGAAGCATACATACACGTATTAACAACAATATTAGTGTCATTTCTCCCTAAAGAATATTTCACAGCATTTTAACAGAGCAGAAGATAACTTGCATTTTCAAGACAAAATATACATTCCAGAATTAAAGCTCCTCGAGAAAAGGCAACACTCACTGTGTCTGATGACTTTAATTCCAATTGCACCCTCAAGCATCCTAGCTTTTGAACCATCATGGTCATACTCATAAAGTCCTGATTCACAAACACCAATAAAACAACACAAAACGCATTGTGTGACTGTGTGAAAAACAAGTACTACCATAAAATTTAGAACAATCTCAAAATGCTTCAAGCTAGAATTACCAGCAGAGTTACTAAATACAGCAAGATCAGGACCAAACTCCAATTTACAACATTCCAATGAAGACTCCAGTGGAGGCCAGGGTGTCAAAGAGTAAGGTGCTGTAATAGTATTATCCTTGTCAAAGACAACACCCTTAAATCCCTTTTTACGCAGCTCACCCCAATCAATGTATCTTATATCGGGAACAGAAATATGGGGCAGTGCCAATTTCGGGTCTTTTAAGATAACCATAGTTGAACATAGAATCCCCTCCAAGTTGATTCTTTGGCCAAATGCTGCTTTCACATCTACCCACCACATGTTTGAGAAAAGTACCCTGTCTTCCTTCTTTTCCTTCAATTCTCTTGGTTCGTCTAATTGATGTTGATCTTGGTTTCTGGTTTTTGGATTTTGATTAGTGGTTTCTTTTGAGTCAGTGATGGGGAAGAACTGCAAAAAGAAAAGGTGTTTGTGGTTCTGATTTGAATTCGAATTGTATCTAGCTCTGTTATTGCCTTCTTGCCATTTGCTGCAATTATGGGTCTTGAGAAGAGTTAGGCCATAGAAGTTTCTGAGGGAGATTTGGCTATCTGCATTGGCAAGTGAAAGAGTTGTGAGTTTTCTCTTTTGTTGGGCATGATGATGGACGTTAAGATGGCTAGGAATGCAGTAACAGCAACTTGGAAGCTGAGCAGCGACAGCAGTTGACAGCATTTTTATAGCTTTTCTTGCTTAACTAATGCCGCGCCTACATGTTGCTATGGGTGTACACTTCAATCATCTCTATTTATAATAACAATGATTAGCATAATTAGAAATATTAAAGATCCAAACAATATTCGAAATTGGTTTTTCATTTAAAGATCAATCACAAATAAAAGGTAACATCAATGAAAGTACAATAAGGATTAGCATTTTACATCATAGATTTTGTATTGAAGATCATTTGAGAAGAAAAAAAGAAACAGGAACACCCCAATCAAAAAGAATTGATCATAATGAAGCCTTCTCAGCTAAATTTTTTTTCACTCTAGCTGAGTATTTTTGTCACTCATTGATTTTGGTACAGATGCTACCAAATAAATATTAAATGTTTGTAGGAAAAGTAAGTAATAATAATTTTAAAAGCTCTGAACTAAAACACATATCTCAAGGTCATGCACTTCAATATCCAGCTAAGATCCAGAACCTTAACCAAAGGCAAGATTTGTTCCCATCAATTATAGAGACTGTCAATGTACTATTAGTCATCACCAAAAACAGATAACGGGTTTATAATGATGCAGAAATGTAAAGATAACTTTACATATGCTCACTAATAAATGGAGAAATCATATAATTACATGTGAAATCACGAATCAAAATATGAAAGTGGGAGAGCGATACTGTTTCCTTCTGCCTTTACAGAGGCAGATTAGTGTTATGTTTGTACGCAAGGTTAAATTTTTGAAATAGTTTATAATCAAGGTCAATTTGATAATTAATTATTAAATAAAGGCTACAGTGGTCAAAAAGTCCAACCTGGTGCTATAAAGTTTTTTGTGCTAAGCGCAAGGTCTAAGCTGTTGGGCCGTGCACAGGAAGCAGCTCATGACAGGGAGAGAAAGCGCCAACCAGCGCCAACCATGGTCTAAGTGAGCAGTAACAATAAGTGGGCTCGGAACACCACAATCAAACCCAAAACTTTAAAGCATTAGATGCATGAGTTCTTCCATTTATATGATGCTCACTTAGCCTATTATTAACCAATGTGGAACTCCACCCCCTCACACTTGGATTCCTCAACATAATCAAACCCATTGTGTGGGTCTATAGTAAGCAGCTTTACTTGCATTTCCAAGAGACTGATTGGAGCTTGTGACTTCTCAGTCACATGGTTATAAGACCATATTTGAATACATAAGAAAACATTCAGTTCCACCAAACAACAACCTTAGGCTTCAATTCCAAGGGAACATACACTAAATTGATTCATGAGATATATCGCAGAGAACAAAGATATTTTGAAAATGACGGGGTTAGTTATACGGCAACGGAAGGAATGGCAGCGGAAACTATTACAAACACATGGCTACATAATTATATAGTTAAAAAAAGGATAAAAGGATGCATGTTCTAATAACTGAACCTGTGAATCTCATATTATTATATCTAAATTCGAAAGAAACAAAAAAACAGAAAGAAAGAAAGAAACTCACTAGCAGGGAATAATGAATGAGAGAGGTCAATTGAAAACACGGGAATCGTTAGTGAGTGACGATTCTGGGTTCATGAGTTTTTTTGCCCCTACTGCGCTCTTTTATGCAGTCGATCCAATGAAGATTGATGAAAGGTGATAGACAGGTTTATCACCGTGTATTCAGAAGTTGATACCTCCTTGTTTATTTGCTCCTGTATTATAAGAAAAACAATATAAATAAATAAATTCTCGTACGTCTCATTTTATCAATATTTTCCCTACTCTCTCTCGTTGGGAAAAGCACAGCATCACCTATAACTTTGTAGGACTCGTTGTTTTTATCTCATAACTTTATTTTATTTTTATTTGAGTAAATATCTTTTTTTAGTTCCTAACAGAAATCACGGTCTCCACTTTAGTCTCTTACAAGAAAAAATTAGTCGGTTAGTTCCTAACAAATTCAAAATGGATCCATTTAGTTGAAATCGTGGTCCCTCACAAATTCAAAAAATACCCATATTAATTCCTCAAAAGGACTAAAATGGGTCTACCTTGAATTTGTTAGGGACTAACTGACAATTTATTTTTGTAAGGGACTAAAGTGGGGACCATGTTTTTTGTTAGAGATCAAAAAAGATATTTACTCTTTTTATTTTTTACTGGTATTTGTTTCAAAAAAGAAAAAAAGAAAAAGAGAAATCATCACATTCGTCTTAACAATTAGGATTGTTAGAAATGTTAATGGAATGTGGTGACATAACATTTTCTGTAGATAAAATGCATCGAACATGTAACATCCCGTTTTAGAATCGTTTTGTTATCACTATATATGATATTAAATGCAATTATAATTAAGTAATTGAATTAAATTATGGATAAATTTTTCTTTTACTTATTTTCTCTTTTTCTGTTAAATAAATAATTCAAGAACTTAATCATAACTCATACATTATGTGCAACATCATAAATTAGCTTAATATCTTCCACTATCTCCAAAAGTTAGTGTAGTGTTAATTTCACTTTTTACTTTTTGGAACTATTGCACATACTCTACTAATTCATTCTTAATCATAATTATTTATGCATTCATTTAGGCACCTCACATCTACGTGATCTTAAGCCTCTACTAATTATAAACAATGGTTAATCTCAATAAAACCTTAAGTCATCTTGGGACAAGTTGAGTTAACTCCCCTAAGGTCTATTTACATTAAATTAGGCATCACAACTCATTAAAAGTGGATTTAAGTCTAATAGAGCAGGAGTAATCGATTACAATTCAAAAAGTAATGTAATACTCCACTATCACAGGAAATAATCGATTACTTGCGCTCAAGTATTCGATTACTGCTCTAAATTACTTTCAAGACAGAGACTCAAAATTTGTTTCTGCCAGCGCAGTAATCAGTTATCTTATTTGATTACTCCCTGGACAGAGAGCATAACAACCCTGTTTTACTGTATAATAGGGGTTTTAACCCCTCTCCAAGTTCATAGCATCACCTGATTGACATTTGTACGTAGTTCATGCTATTTTTAGCCATCTCAAAGCTTTAAATCTAATATCCATCCATGGACCAACTTAAAACATCCTTAACTTACACATAACTTGTCATGGATTTAACATGATCTTTACATCAATTCTCAACGTAATTCATCAACATTTATATTCACGCATTCTTTCATACTATAGCATTCATCCTTGTGAATGTCTCATCTCATAACATATATATAAGTAAATGTCCAATTACATATATCATTGTCTCTTCAACATAACTGTCATCTAAACATAAGATTACATGATCCACATACATTATTCTCTATAACCAATATACATCATTTGAATCATGCCAAAATAAACATAGCATTCATATATGCCTCAAAATACATCTCATATGCATAATCATAATAAAATTGTTTACATGATACATATACATCAAAAGGGTAAACTATAACACCTCGTATTTCTAAATGTATAATTATATAAGATAATGATAATTAAATGGTAGGATTAGTTAAAATCCTGAAATTAGAGCAAAATGGTAATTTACCAAACACGTATCCCTAGACATGAAAAAATTGAGTAGAAGGTCTCAAATGATAAAAATAATGCCGGGAATGGATTCAGGACGAAAAATCGAGTGGATAGGCAAGTTTCAGAAAATTTGATGAATAGTGATTTTTTCGGTGTAAAATACTGCGGTATAATTATACCGATAAGTGCGAAATTATGATCAGTATTTCTAGGAAATAAAAATATGGCGTGAACGAGAAAAATACGTAGGTTATGAATTTGTGGATTAAAATGGATGATTTAAGAAAGTTAAATGACGTGTGGGACCCACTTTAAGTGACTTAAGTGGTTTAAGTGACACAAAACACACAAAATCTGAACACTCTCTCTCCTCCTTCTCTTCTTCGTCGTGGAGCTTCCATGGAAATAGGTCAAGAGAGCTTTTTGAATTGCAACCTTGAGTTAGAGCCATTTTTGAGAGAAACTTCCAACTACAAAGTTGTTCCTCTTGAGATTGTGAGTGACTTTCATGTAGAGTGCACCTTGTGGGGATCATTGTGGAGGGAGATATACCCTTATTTCAGCCACGAAATTGGTGGATTTTTGGAGAATTTTTGGGGCTTTTTGTGTTGAACCATTGGTTGGAGATCACTTCCTTGGACCATTGGAGGCTATTGGTGGTAAGTCTTCCCATTCTCTTTGAGTTTTCATGGAGATCATAAAATTGATGAGGGTTTTGATTATGTAAGTTGAGTTGTGATAGTTAGGAGCATTAAATGATATGTCTCCTTTGGAATTAAATGCTTAGAATGATAAATGATGATGATTGATGTAATAAAAATTATTGTGATTTGGGAATTTTAACTTAAGCAATTTTGTGATGAGATTTCAAGACTTTATGAATTGGCATGATGATGAGATTGGATAATTGAATTATGGAGCATTGGTATGAATTAATTAGAGGATTAAAGGACGTGTATAAGTGTTAAATTGAATTGAAAGTCTTGGTTTATGCCTCTTGAGGAATTCGAACCATAGAAGGAATTTAGAGTAAAATGATGTGAAAAATGTGGTTTAATCAATGATTGATGTTTTAGTGCATAATTGGTGGATTGGTGAGTAAGTTTGATGAGTAAAGTGATTGAGTTAGTTGATTAAATTGTGAGATGGCCTTTGGGCCTAAGTGATTATAATTAGTTATAATTCTTGTGAAATTGATGGATTGTTTGTAATTGATTGATGGTCATAGTTGTTGATCATATAGGTTACCTCGCACGGATGCAATAGAAGCGGATTAAGCTTGGAGCTTACGTGGAAGAGCAATATTTGTGGAGTTGAGGTAAACCTTTGGAACTTGGATTTTAATCCCTTGTGTGCTCCACCACACTAGTGGAAGGTTGTGGTTGGATTTTGTGTTTTTGACATTGTGTGAATATGTATGTTCATGCATTATTTCTTGATTGTGTGACATGCTTGGAGCATGTTGTGTGTGAAATTTTGTGATCTCTGGCCAGTAGATGTGTGTGGTTTGGACTTCTGCTGGAGATATCCTTTGGGGATTCCGGTCGGGTTTTGTCGTGGGGTCAACTCTGGGAGCGGCACCAGGATGATCCAAACGTGGGACTTCCGTTGGATAGGGCTCATGAGGAGTTCCAGTTGGGTTTTGCCATGGGGTCGTCTCATCCATGGGAGAGGCACCAAGAAGCTTCCCGGGAGTTATATGATGGGGTCCTTGAACGGAATCCTTATGTGGATGTTCTTGGATTTGTGCCTAGTTGTTTGTGATTTTGTATGTTATGCATTTTACATGATGTTATTGTTGCACATTGAGTGAGCCATGGGGTGGAGTGATCCTCTAGTACCCTTAGTTTACTGAGATATATTTGTATATCTCACCCCGCAGTTGGGGACATCATTTCAGGCTATAGTGAGCATGTAGGAGCTTTGGGCAAGAAGCCCGCTTAGTGGAGGATTCGAGCATGATATGCATTGGGAGAGCATGACATTTTGGAGGACTATATATTGATGCACTTATCATAGTGTTTAGTATTTTGGACTCAGGTTATGAACATATTGCATGTGATATTGCCATGCTTTTGGGTGTTCATAACTATATGCTAAGTCTTTGTAATTCATGTAGAATTTATGCCTTTTGATTATATTGGTATTTTGTGTGAGCATGGGACTTTTCCATGGCCACCTAATTGTTCTTTAAGGCATTGGAAGACTTGTGTTGTAAATAGACCATTTGATGATTAAAATGGCTAGGGTATTAGGAACCATTGTAATTGTAATATTGGATAATGAGTATGCATGATGGAAGAGCCTAGAGCCTACATTAGATCTTGCGTAAGTTGTATTTTGGGTAGTGAAGTGATAGGAGTGGATTACATCAACCATTTTGGGTTTTAAATGTTGTCATCTGTCATTTTTACAATATGGTAATCGATTACTTTTCTTTGGTAATCGATTACCTAAAACAGGGGACGCAAAATTGAGTCACTGTGTTCTAAGTAATCGATTACCATTCCTTTGGTAATCGATTACCTACTTCAGTAATCGATTACCAAAAGATTGGTAATCGATTACCCAAAACAGGGGAGCCTAAATTGAGCTACTGACTTCTACAGTAACCTTTGGTAATCAATTACCTCAAGGATGGTAATCGATTACCACAGTTTAAATTTTGAAAATAGTGTTTTTATAATCTAAAATAAATGGTATTACTTGGAGGGATGATAATTAGTATGTTTTATGCTTCCGCGAGTTTTGCATTTACAATTACGGCATTGTTTTAATTAGTTACAAAAATGGTTAATTGTTTAAAGTTAATGATGTAATAAAAGAAAAAGTTTACCCGTATTTAATTAACTCAAATACTGTGATTTTAATTGCGCTTAATACCATATGCAATGATAACATTTCTGGTACGTAACGGGCTGTTACATAAACAGTGATCATCATATGCTAAACATCATGCTATAGATGGCCTCTTACCCTGGGATACTCCCTCTCCATCTATGGAGATACCTGAAATGTATTCCCCATAATATGGGGTGAGATAAAATCTCAGTAAACTAAGGGTCCTTGGAGGATCACTCCACCCTATAGTTCACTTACTGTACAGGCATATAACAGAACATAGCAAACATACATCTTATCATAATCCATG